ATGACTCTACACTGTCTTTTGAAGTTGTTGATAAAGATAAATGATCATTAGGAACACTGAACTTAATAGAATCATAATTACAAGACTTAATATTAGTTGCAGCAAGATGAGCAGTGGTATTACAAACTGAATGAATATGTCCAATATCACCACATTTAACGTACTTGGAGTTACGAAATTTACATGAATTAAAAGAGTGGAACTTGCCACAGGACAAACATTGAGCAAACTTGTGCCCATCTTCTTGAACTGCATCGCAACTCCCCAATGAATTATCTGAATAACCTTGAGTATGCACTGGGTTGGGATGACGTAATGTGATGGAATTTTTTAAATCCTCATGAATCATTGTACGAAATCTTCCTCCTTCACAACATTCGAAAATTGTATGCTTAACATAGCTTAGCGGCAGATCCTTGAGAATTGTATAAGGAAGTGAAATGGGCTTTTCCGGTAAAGCCAGAGTTTTTAATAAGTTATGTGCTTCTTTTCCGATGAATATGAGGAAATGTGCTACAATATTAACATCCTCATCATATCCCTTGGCCATAACCCAGATTTCGAACCCTTCGAAGTAATCCTCAAAAGCATCAAAATCTGAATGTATATTCAACAGTTCCATCACAGGCTCAATCGAGACGCCGATGTGATGATTAGAAGTATTTGGACTATAGCACGAACTAAGAATCCCAGAAATAATGTAATCGGATCAAGAAGTACTGGATAAGCTCGAACGAATGTACTGTGTTTGGCATTCAACAAGTACAAAGGAATCATTAGTTCATTCAAACACCACAGAAGCACAATAAGTGAAACGTTAGCATATTTATAGTTTTTACATGAGAAGATTCTAGAGTCTTCTCAGAGTATCAACTGAAGCTGATTGGATAAGAACTAGCCAATCGGCGTGCACCAATACAGTTGTGCACAGAATATGCTTTAATCTAATCTATGTCCAGCTAACACTTTACAATTATTTCTAATCCACAGTTAGCAGTCAACCTACTTGATGTACATGAATTAAAATAAATCTGGTGTCATGAATGATACGGAAGCCTGAAACTTTGATTTATATTGGTAATATGATGACAAACGACAGTTTGGAATGTTTACTTTGAGCAAAATCTCGCAATGAAGCCATGGAGTTTCGTTTGACCACAACTGACTGTTGCGCCTTTTGGAACTCTTAATTATCACGTGAATAAATCGCCGATTAAAACACGATCCAATAAAATTGGCACTGAATTGGACCAAAGATGCGCTAACCTGTGCGAGCAGTCTAGATTTAACGCTGAGTCCTGATTGATCCTTCTATATATACCTGCCTGTTCGAGTCCAGAACACAGTTTCTACCGTACGAATCACGTGTTTCGAACATACGCAATTTATGTACAAGGAAATCAGACCTCATCGCACCATAAAATAGGAAATACCAATTATACAAGATCAGGCAAAAGTAGCTGTGTGAGTGAATGTAACCAATAAGTTGGGAATAACGTAAGAATATTACACCGTATAATGGTAGTCAAAAGATTAAATGGAAACTTATAATAAAAGGAATATAAACTCACAAAAACTAACTACTTGATAATCATGAAATGATAATATATATGATAAAAATCCATAAATAGATCCTAGAAGTTACCATTCAACTATTCATCATCCGGATAGAACACTGACAACAATGGTTAGCATTTTGCATCTCACTGGGGAATAAATATTTTTAGTACCGATTACATGTTGCAGACTACAGTCACAACTAAGGAAACTCCCCTCTAGAAGTGTATCAAGTTGAAAAAGATTTAGGAGTGCTGATACCCTACAATTTGAAGTCTTACGCTAATTGTGACAAAAATTCATTTCGATCATACCTTGCACTGGTAAAAATGAAGTGCATTTTTGGCCAGCTTGACGGTAGATCTGTCCACATAATCTTCAACAGTTTTGTTGGTCCCCACTTAGAATACGGAAACATAGTATTTCCTCCCTCATTCTGGAGCGTATCCAACGGCGAGCCACGAAACCAGTTCAAGGACTCCAATTCAAGCCTTATGAAGAGCATCCACAGTCACTAAACCTTTACTCATTAGGGTATAGGCGTCTTAGAGGTGACCTCTTGATGGCTTACAGCATCCTTGAAACTTCTGGATATCTCCTTAAGCACCTACTTATGTTTAGCTCCAACACAAATCTAAGGGATAGTATTCAGAAACTGGAGACACAACACGGCAGACAAAACTTCTACTCCTTAAGAGTTGTCAGTTGATGGAATTCGCTGTCGGCTGAGCTAGTCCAAGCGACTTCCCAGGAGTCCTTCAAGAGGCAACTTGACCTATTCTTAAGGGCTAAGGATAATATCTTACTGATTTACCAATTTATTTTTCCTCTGTTATCGTTAATAAACCTAGGTTCCTGCCTGGAGGTATTGGTGATCCACAGCTACTAGACACGGAAGCCTGTTAAGCGAAAGCTTCCTCTATTCCGTCCACAAACATTCGAACCATTTGAATAGGGACCTGTTGCCCATTAAACACTTCTTGAAACAGATCACTTTTACTGATTAACGACTGAAAAGATCACCATACCAGCGAACTTTAGTGGATCTGGTAGACTTCGGACTTACCAATCAGAAAGCAACGTTCGGGTAAGAGCTCAAAATGACGGAAACACGGAAGATTGAGAGTTTGAATACCAACCATGAACTTACATGTACAAAACATAGGCAAATCTGACTAAGTATCTGTAATCCCGACAGATTCTAATACCTAGCCCCACATCTTTTGAAACGTAACTATTAACTCTAAATTCACTCGGACGCAGCTCTTAACCGTGAGACTACAAGACACCAATATCGAACATCAAATCTCACGAAACCTGGTTTCTAACGTTACTGCTTCATGTCTCTAACTTCTAATAAAAACCATTACTTCAACTGCAATACTCCTTACCTTAACACTCTGTAACTCTAAAATTCATTGACCGTGTAAGACTATACCAGGCTAACGACCATCAGAGAACAAACCAGAATAAAACGGACGATTTTAGGTTTGAACCCGCATCTGTAAAATCAGTTGCTATAGCGAGTTAGACTATCTGTCTCTATTATGGACTTCCAGATTGTCCTGACCTAAAGCTATTGTTACTGCTGGTTATTGTCCGCAGTGCCTATGTTCAACGTTAATGAACCGTGTGCGCTTGATGAGTTTTCGACTCGCCTGCTCGTTTGTTTTTCTCTTTTTCAGCCCTATTCGCTCAAGCCACTCTGAGTGCTCCAATACTACACAATGTACCCTCTGAGCAGACGCGAAACGTACAGCTTCAGATGACCTGTCGCTTCTACAGATAATGTTTTACGAGACTTAACATTCTAACCAGTTTAGAAAATGATTCGGAAGTGCAGCACCTTTTAGATTAACATGGTTTTGTGGTTTTCCAGATGTAGGCATATGTAGGTCTTGAACTACATCTGAACGGGCTCAAGAATTACCGTAGCTAGTTGCTCTTTGGCAGAGCGAGGAGCAGCTGCACTTACATAGTAGTTATCGCTAATGTTCCGTTTTGTTATTTGAAATATAAACTAATCAGCCTGACGCTTTCCCTTATCTAGGAATGGCGTTTTTCAAAATTTTTGGTTACTGAGTTTCAAACCATTATTTTGTGTCTGTTCGTCCGGGAATATGAGGTCATTTGGGGACACATGTAAATCCGTTTCACATCTGACGTCTCTTCGAAGTTTAATATCGTGTGGATAGTTAATTATTATTGAACTGAAGTTTTCTGAGAGGTCTTAGATGAATGTGAGGTACAACAGAGGGTTCAGTATAGTTTCATGTAAAACCTCGGTTTTAAGACCTTACCAGCGTGGCCGCATACTAATAATATTGGTCCTGAATCATTAGTCCTGTAGTCAGTTACTTAACCGTATGTTCGTATAACGAGTGATTTCTTTAGTTTTCGTTCAGTCTGCTCAGTTTAGAACAAAATGAAATGTTATATACTTGGTTGTAACTTCTGCGTGAGAAGTTCCAAGGTTACAAAACGACTCACTTAAAAAGCGACGTCTGTTAGGTCTAATTCTCATCGTTGTGGGACTGTTTTTACTCAATAAACCACTCTTAGCCGGAGACGATATGAAATAAAAAGATATGGGGGAGGATGGTTTACATCCTTCCTCTTGTAAATACATAAATTATGAGACGAGGGAGGCACGCTAAAATGACTGCTTTTTCTTTGTCCATAATGCATCATTTTAGCAGTATATTACGTATCTAACAGTGTTAAGCTTTTTGGTTGGAATTAACCTCCACGATTAATTATTATGACGATTGTTTATCTTTATGTTGCTTTAGCTGCGAGTTATGGGAGGATTTGAATTGCCTGAATGTATCGCGTTCAAAATCCTACACTACCAACTTTTAATTTCATTCATCAGATTATCTTAGTCTTACGCTTGTGGCATCTCCGATTTTCATCGATAACAAATATTACTGATTGTAAGTTCGTTTTATGTGCTTACTAAGTAATCGGCTCACTTATTGTCTCGTTCTTTTCTCTTTCAGATTCTCACATACTGCATCTAACACTTCCCCAGAACATAAGTTACCTCCGGACTAAACGGGAACCTACGGAATACTAAGCGTTACATGAAATAATATAGCATGCGAGTATCAAGATTATGTGGTTCTGCAAATCACTGTGCACGGATATCAACACGCAAAACCATTTTCGGTGATGTGAGAGAATCTCGTATTGTTTTTTGTATTGACACTTCTGGAAGTATTTACAAAGTGTGGGATCAGATTTGCTCTCATATTGTCGAACATTTGTGCAAGATGGCTATAAACAACAAAGCCTTGTATTTTAATGTTATAACATTCGATGACTATGTAAGCTCTCTTTGCTCATGAACATATTTGTGAATAGGTCAAGCGCTTCCGAACGAAGCTGGTAGTAGCTTCTTACATAAATATACAGGAGTTAAATAAGTGGTTAAGAAGTGTATGTTTTGGACTAGCTGTTATGTCTTTCCTGCGTTATTGGCGTCTTACTCGCATGTGGATGCGGAATGTGTATTACTAGTCACAGACGGTTTACTGACTAAGGTAGGTACTGTATAAATGATTTTCTTACACACAATTTTACTTGCAGGAATTTTATGAGATACAACAATTATCCACAGTTTGCAACTCACGTCCCCTCTATTTAACTCTTTTAATGAATAATATAAATCCAAATAACAGAGTTATTGAACTGGCTTCTAAATTATTGATGATGACGTGTTGTTCGAAGAGCAGACTGAATGTTATTACAATTGCTGTGAGTGGATGTTTTGTCCAGCTTTCACCAATTGAATGGAGTATCAGAGTTCCTTCAAAACTTTATGGATGCCCGAACTCGTGCTATAAGTTTGTGCTTGACAGTCTACACAAATTTCCAAACGAAATCACGGGTGGAATATGTCCTGTTAAAAATCCACAGACACATAATTCTACATCTCAAGAAGCCATGAAAGGTAAGATTTGAATCCTGATATACAGCGTCTCTAAGACGAATTCTAAAGCTAAATTTTGTGTCAGATGCGTCACAAACTTTTCCGAAGCTTTGCTACTAACTGATAATGTTAAGATTCCTCATTATTGCAAAGCTCTGATCAGAATCATGGAATTCCTATCTTAGGTTTAGCATCTTATACACAAAAAGTAGTGATTGCTCAGTTCATTCTAAAAAAGTACTGACCTAAGGAAGTTACCGTTATTTTATTGATAAAAGTGAAACTCTACACATTATTTACAATCTACAAAAATGATTTAAACTCTGAAACGTTAGTGATATATATTCGATTTAGTGTAGTCAGCGGCATATAAATGACTGAGTTCTACCACTGGTCAGTGGCTGTAAAATAATTCATGTGTTCTGTATTTGATGAAGAGATTTTGAAAAAAGATTTTTGTAAACACTGATATGTTGTGATCATAATGCATAATATAATATTTGTGGTTACATTCGCAACTGAGCCTAAATTTTACTCATAGACGCAATTATCTAATCGGAAATCAGTGTTTTTCGCCCGTACTTTTTAAAACTATAGTAGGAGTAACTCACGCAATATATGTAAACGATAATTACGGGACACGGTAATACAATTTATGTTTCCACTTGTAGAAACGTACACTCAAAGCAGGTTGAAATTTAAGGCTAACAACAATCTAGTCAAGCCTTCATTGTTTTCGTACTTTTGAACAAATTATTAGCCTCATAGTATTCGGGAATGCATGAAATCTCTGAGTAAATTTACCTAGTGGCCTAATTTAGATCAGCTCATGACTTAATTGAAATCTAACAACCACCACAAATCACAATGTGCAACTGTTTGTTTTCACTTTTCTGACATTGACAGTATTTTTCTAGACCTACAGATAATCAGACACGAACTAAGTAGCACGTGGATAATTAGCATATAAGTCTATGCTGGTACAGTTCACACAAGTACAGCAAGAAGAGTTTAAAAGAATTGGAGGGAACCGCTATTAGTAAAAGTACTCCCATTAGTAAGAAATAAAATAAGAAAGAAAAAGAAACGAAAGGGAACAAGAAGTATATGATGATAATGTTTATGATCCAGACAGAGATAGGTAATAAACACATCAACAAAATTCCATTCCATCCCGACTCTTATCACTTGCTAGTCATTACCCACTAATCGTGGTTATTTCAGTGTAACGTTGCATCACTACTCAGCGTAGAATAGCAGTCAATAATTGATGCAACATTTTGGTCCGATATCTCCCGATATTATCTCGTTAGATGTGTTCTCTGTTTGATGTCAAGCTAAGACTACCTAAATTGTGTAACGAAGTTAAATAGGTGTGGTTAACAACTTTCAATAATTTGTAAATGTTAACAAAAATTGATGTCTTTCAGGCTCTAAGAGCTTAAAAAGGATCTCTTGTACAATGTATAGTGTCTCTTTGGAGTTTATAAATTTATTTTGTGTGTTACAAAACTGTTTTAACCAATGGTACGTCTCATTTATCAGATATAATAATGATGCTAAATGTAGGCAGGTTTATTTGACTTTTTCGATTTGTCATAAGTTTGTACTCGTGTGTGTAATTGATTTCAGATCCTTCTAAAAAGATTTAAAGGCAAATATTTCCTGGTACAACGAATTTCTTAACCATCCTAATTCAGTCTTATTCTTGTTATAATCACTTGTCCATCAACTGAATCAGGGTTTTCATTTATGCGAAATTGAATATTTACTGTTTAGCTAGTTAGTAGTTTATTAACTTGAACAGATTATGTACTATGTGATTGTTTAATTGAACAAATCCCTTTATGTACATTTCTGACATAATAAAAATGATTACTCTGCAATCACTCAGTTTTGTACATCTATAATTAGCAAGTAAGCTCAATATTGTAGCTACTGAACGACTGACGAAACAGTAAGTAGATAGCAGAGTTTCTGAATGATGTTTGTATATAATTTTTACTGAAATGATGATATAGCATACTTGAACCTCTAAGCACATGAGGATAAAATCCCTTATAATAATCCATATATATGAGCTACTGTTTGGAGATCGTTGACTGTGGCGTGATCTCACAAATACACTAAACTTACTGTTATAAGTAAATGTAGATTAGGTACATGTTCGATAAACATATCCTGGTAACTAACGACCCATTGGATCTTTAATTCAGAGCATTAAAAGACTTGTGACTAAAAGTATTCTTTCACCTCAGTTTCACCCACATTTTTGAAAAAATACGGACAAAGTTTGATAAATAATCATCCCATTTTGATTTCAAAAAACCACTGAAATCAAAGACATGGTATGATCATAATCTAGAAACTTCATTTACACAAGAAAAATCTATTTACATCCTAATAATTTTTGAAGTGGCGTTTGTTCGTCCATGATTCTTCAGTATAAGTGCACTACCTTCACGAGAGTTTCTTAGATGAAAATAAAATCACAATGAATACTTATTCTACAACATTATTCAGTTTGACCCGTAGTTCTAATGAAAAGTTTTCATATTAATTCAGATATTCCCAAAAGTTGACAATACTTTGATATTCCGAAGTGACACTGTACATTTAACACGTATTACCGATTAGTACTCTAGAAAACAACTAAATTCGGTAATCACCTAAAAAAATACGATAAGCTTCTAAGAGTCTTCAATTCATAATCATATTGGGGACCATAGGTTTCTGTAGGAAATAACGATCGGTAAGGGAGAAGTATATAACACGAATATTGAAATAAACATGTTATAAATGTCGCTCGCTTAGAAAAGCAGTCATATAAAAGGGAAGCGTATCTATTTGTCTGGATCTGTAGTCATCCATGTAATCGACATAACGTTAAAAACTATTTTTAATACGAAAACTATGGATAAAGCACTTGACAACATTTATCAGTTATTTTGCCCATGAACCAGTCATGGATAAAGCGTGTCCTATTAGCTTGTGGAAATTCTCATTTATCAATGTATAGCGAAACTGCTCCGATTCTGTCATTCTACGGCTCCATTTTACACATTTACCTGATCGTGTATGTAGATTCAACGTAGTTAAAAGTCGAGTTTCAAGCCATTTTATTTATAACTGTTTCATGTTAGTGAAAGGGCGATATCGTTAACACAGAAATTTTAAGGTTCAGTAAGAAAATAGTTTTTAAAAGTTAGTATTCCTGGTTTTTGGCAATTGCATCTATTCGTACACTTTAAGCATTCTCCATAAATGCATAACAATTCTAAAAAATAAATTTGTCTAAATCTTGGTGATTGAATCGAATCATTTTAAAGTTTGATCCGTCAGTCTCGTCCGAGCTTCTTCAAGAAAATAATCAAGTATAAGTATTGTCTAATACAACGCCACAAAACAGCAATGTAGTAGGATGTTGAATATATTTTGAATGTTTGTATTTAAGCGGCATCGTGTGAAGAAATGTATCTACAGATGTGCAATTTACATTTGATGGCCGGTAACTACGTATGTCGTCCTCGGTTATGGTGGGGATGAAATCTGTAATCTTGGCTAGTAATCGCAAACTTGTCAGAGTATTTGCAGGTAAATAAACAAATAAACAGATCACTGTATGAATATTTAGGAAGTTATGTTAGCCAAACCAGTTATCACAGTCAATATTGAAACAAGATAACTGATTAAACAAAGAAATGCTGTTGTCCACATTCAGTGACTCAGGAAAGGACATACAAGTGGCAGTTTAGCATGGAGTTATCCTCATCGACTACAATACTTTATGAAACAGTTCCGTAGTTAACGTACTTTTATACACCAAGAGATATAATACCAAAAAGAGTTAAATTAACGTTACTAGAAACAACAGTATTAAAAATAAATAGTTATTTCGAAAAAGACAAAAAATGCAAATAATTTCTGTTATGCTTTGACTAACCGATCGGTCTACCCATTATATATGATTCAATCTTATCAAAATAAAGCAGTAAAAACCTGTTGGGCAAAGTAACATGAAGTATTAAGCGTCTAGATATCTGTCAATACTCATCTTTAAAGCCTTGTCCATGCCAAAATCTTAAGCTTAATTAAGGTGATAATCTTATTTGATTTTAATAGAAATAAGGATGGCTTTTGTCATGGGTAGTATCAGTTTAAGAAGACAAAAGAAAACCCAGGCAGACATAATCCCTAGTTTGAGACATCTCAGCAGTACCCATTCACAATTTAATATGATTGTCAACGATAAATTTGAATTTTCTAATATTATGTGATCCAATCTTTCTCACTGACCTTAGTAAATTTTTAGTCTATCTTATTCATCAAAAGAGTCATAAAATAGTATCTTTTTAACTGAATATGACTCTTAGGTCATAACTATTTACGTTTCCCAGAGTAACTGATTTATACCGATAACTTGTTGTCATAGTTAAACATTACACTGTCTTCGTAAATATAACGTAAATTTCTTTAAAGGTTGTTATTTATTAAAGAAATGCCCATTTTCAAGGATTTTTACCGTTCTACACTTGTTTTTAGATATGTAACATGATTACTTAACAGCTGATATTTATTTTCCGCATTGTCATATATAAAATTTAGAACTTTCTGGTTTAAACTACTATTTCAGCATGCATATTTAGGTTATAAATTGCTAATATTTTATTATGATAAACTTGCCTATGTATAACTGAAGTTGTCCTTGCTAACAAAAGGAAAACAAGTAATTTATAGGAGTTAACTATGAAAGATGTATTACTTAGCAAAAATACTCAATTATATCAGAATTGGTTTCAAGCCTTATTTCTAATGAAGTGAAATCATATTACTTGATAGTATGATGTTTATTGTAAGATCAAATGAGATTTCATGAATGTAACTTTATTAATCAGTTAAAAAAGTTCGCTAGAATGAAATTTTATATCCTGTTCTATTTTTTAATTTCAAAGGACTTTGAGTACGATTGTTCATTCTAGCGAAACTGTTCTGCTCGATAATCCATCATCTAATCTTTTACAACTCTTTTTTGTATTAGTTGAGGGATAATTAACCAAGTTTAAGGAAATCGATTAAACGACTTCGGATGCCAACTACTCTCGTAGCATAAAATAACACTCTTTTCTTCAGTTATATTTGATTTCTTTCATTTTTAGCATACGAGACCGATTCACTTTATAAAATAAACCATTTATACACTGAAATAACATTAGAATTATGTATGTGAGTACCTTCACTGGTGTCTTGATGGAGAAAGAAAGACGAAATGTTATAAACAAAAAATGAAGAGAGTTTTGAGTAAAATTCAACAGTTCCACGTTGTTATGGTTTATTGAAATAAAAATATTGATAGATCGGAATATTTGCTCAGAAAACCCCATAACTTAAATTTATCTTTCGCCGCTGTTTCAGTCGATTATTAAAAGTGATATTAGTTGAATAATTATTGAAATCAACATGCACTTGAACAGTGTTTCCTCTTATTTTAGAACTCTTCAACTGTGCTAACCCACAAATTTACATAAAAATGGCTTGAAATTGATATCGGCGACATAGATGTTATTTTTAGTTGTTTGTTTCTTTGGTATCTGATTCACATTCATTATCTTATCAAAAGATTTAAAGACTTTTATCAGTGGTCAATTGTACTTGATCATATTTTTCTATTAATACCCTTTTAGCCAAAACAAACAGAAACAAGATAAGCGAAAACCCCAGTTCTTTTTAGAAGATATGTATTAAGGAATGCACACTTCTGCTTAAAACAAATTCCTTTTACATTTATTTATTGCTTAAAGATAGTGCTTGTCAAGTTTCGAACCCTTCAAGTGAAAAACTATTAACAGACAGTTCCATTCACCTCCCTAAGATTAATGAACAGCAAGTTCAAAGAAGTAAATTGCTTGAAATGAATGACTGTCAAACTCAGACAATTTCTGGCACGTCAGAAGAAGTAACTACAACGGATTCAAACCAGTTTATTACCTCTTCATCCCATACAATGTATGGTGAAGGTCATAATCATAACTGTATGTGCAATTCGTGTCTTGCATATGAATGTTCAGAGGAACATGCTGGTAATAAATTCAAACGAAGCAGATATCGTGTCGCTAGGTGAATACACTTTTCTTCTACAGTTGCAGTTTGTAACAAGTATTTAATGTAATATATATTATCATGCTTTGATGACTTTATATTCGCCGAACTAACTATATTATTTGTTGTGTTCTTTTTCACTCTAAGCAGCTTAACTGTGTTATCACAGATAGATATGAGAATACAAAGTTCAAAAATCTCAACAACCTTGCATACTAAAATACGATTATGTACTTACTAGGGACTAAATTCAAATGAAGCGTCCCGTGATCATTGTGATTCGAGCATGTTGGGCGTCAAGCAGTCAATGTTTGTAAATATTGTCAGCCATTGGTAGTTAGAAACGCAAAACATTAAATCACGACTAAGCAGTTAAAATATTGTGCACTCGTCACGAGGTATGAATACCTTGAGTTTGATCCTGGATAAAATATTAGGTGCGTAAAGCTTCAGGGACCCATTCCAAGAAGAAACGGATGTCTGATTCCCCTTAATTTTCCATGATCGTCTGACTAACGTTACTATTTGATATAAATGATACGTAAAAGAATTTCATTCTCTTTAAATGCTCAATATTTTTGACGATTTAAAAAAAATCTAATTAGTTTTCAAGTAACACTATTTACACTTTTAAAACTTTCGGATATTAAAATTTTAAGCTGAAGAACAACTCCAGAGAGTCTGCCCTGAGATAGGCTGGTAACAAGGTTGTTCGTCCCAGTTTTATTTTATATGAAATATTATATTTCAGTAATACAGTGATTTTTATCGTTCGTGATAGATCTTTCATAAATGGTCGCTCACAACTTGATTGGTGGGCTGATGATATTCGAATCGCTCCTTCAGCTGGTGCTTTACTTCTGGGTCATACTGTTTTGGCTCCAAAGTATAACGAGGGTAGTCGGTTATTTATGGGTACTGTACTTTCACAGGTAAATTCTTGCGTGTGGTTTGATATTCATTGTTTAGACTTTGCATTTCAAATTCCTAGTCTTTAATGAATAGCATCATGTTAAGTTCACCCAATCTTAATTTTTCATTTTGAGTTACTCAACACCAGATACCAAACACTGCAATATTAAGGATAGTGGAAATAGTAATTTATTTGTCAAGTACACATTTATGAGCTTAGCTTTAAGAAAAAAGTTCGTGTGAATGCTTTTGATACTACTCGGCTAACCAAACAGAAGTAAGTGAAAAGGGACGTCTTTCATGCACAACACTGAGGAAGTCGAATCATTACCGCTGTAGAATAATTTTTCACGACTGCGATTCATTTACATGTTAAAATAAACTAAACAACAAACTGATAGTAAATATATTGTATACTGATATTCTTAGTAGGTTCTCATAATTTCCTCAAACTAATTGCTTTTATACAATTTATAGGTAGATTACTGCACGTTTATTATCTGCTTTGAAGACCCTAATTCAAAATAAAACATCGTGAAAATATTCAAGAAACTCATGTACATGAACTACTATCATATTTGGATTTTCATCGTCACACTGTTGATGCAGGAGATTTTGTTCTTGTGCCTCAGTGTATATCTAATTGCAAGGAATTAAATCATTCACAAAAGCATTATCTTATTCCTTATTATGTTGCGAAAGTTTTATCTGGTTACGAATCGCGTTCATCGATTAGAAACGGTAATTTACATTTTGTGGTGATTCTTTTTTTTCTTTTTCATAAGGAAACATTTAACTCATCTGATAAATAGCCGTATAAGCCTAGAGTGACTTGTCTTCATCTAGTTATTGAAAGTAACCGTTGAAAATCTACAAACTTTTGTTTAAATGTATAACAGATTAATAGGTAGAGCTATTTTTATTCCGTAATATATACATCGAATTAGTTGCATTCATGTGAGACATTTTGAAACTACAGTTAGAATATTCCCTAACAAATAACGTCTTATGCGCGTAATTGTATACATTTTTCCAGTATGATAGGAAATAAACTGTACTACCAAACATTTCAACTGAAAACTCACAAGGACAACCAATACATACATAAATCTTTATTAAACGAATAAAAAGAGAATGAGCACAAACTACCCTGTTAATAAAATCCTATTAGGTCACTGAAGAATTTGAATATTGAGATAGCACATCCCTTGTTAAAATATCGAAGTTCAGCTCTAGATTGGAATGACATTCATTGCAACAATGTTTATCAGCCGTCATGTAGAATGGTTACTGTTAGATAGTTATCTACTTTTTTCCGTTTATTAATTTTTCCAGTATATACGGAAATAATTTTTTTCACATAGTTGAAAGGGTTGTGGTAATTCTGAGGTGTATGATAATTTCACTGTGCCTCTGCGTATCGAGAGTTTACATGAACCGGCTTTTTCATCAGTGCGTTACTAAATGTAATGCCTCAGATTTAAATAGTTGCATTCACTCTACTAAATCTGTGAAAACAATTGGAATAATTTGAGCTCGGTCGATAGCATTCAAATTACTTTGTGTAAGAACTAGTAACTTTCTAAAATTCTTAAGAATATTTTACCTATAAAATAATCTTTGGTAGACTGTTTGCAAAAATTAAGAACGAGTATAACTTTCATCGTTATGAGATTGAGTTTTGCTTGGAAAAATCAAACAAACGTTGTTGAATAACCACCTGTATTATCATAACTATCTTAGAACCCCTTTAAGATATATATAAATGAACAATAAGATTTTATTCATGAGTTACATTCCTCAATAATGTTGATATTTCACTTGTTTGGACAATGTTTGGACTGTTGTGATCTCTTATTCCTAGGGAAAATTGTTCACGATGCAATAAACTGTGGTATCGCTCTATGAAGTCATAAGTGTATGTACAGACCACGTAATTGGAGTCTACGAGATAACTGCAATCAGTGATCGGATACTTTGAATAATAAGGCTCAGAATCAGTCACAATGGTGAACATGAATTCACTCTTTGTACTTCTCGAGATCCTCAGTTTCAGTATTTCTTCGTATTTACTTTCTACTTCACCTTTTCAAACCATGCATTCAAATGTCAGTTTTTCTTATTATCAGTATCATTGACACTACATTATTTCAATTATTTTGCCATTCATCTTTTTAAACCCATCTTGTTCTGTTAATATGATATGGGAACTTGTGCCAACGCACATATTTGTCGGGCTCTATTCTGTTTTTGACTGATATGGTGAACTAATAGAAGCTAGGGTACTATTTTATCTTTTTACTTATGTTACTTGTTCTTTATGAGTAGTATCTTTGAACTTCGAAGCATTCTAAAAACTCATTTGATCACTGTTAACAATTGAGTTTAAAACGAACCCATTAATTACATTGCTTTCTTTAGTAAGACATCTAGTAATAATGTTTCCGCCTTACAATCGCGTTTCATTGCAAACTAGTTAATTTATTTTTTGGGAGATTCATAGTTTTGTATAGAAGCTTTATCGATAATATATTCACAATAAACGACGAAAAGTGTGATGTAAAGAAAAATACATGTCCTTATGAAATTACCACCTATTACATAAGTCTATAACGAGACAAGAATATGCATCGAAAGTTTACTTTCATTTGATGTTTTAGTTACTAAATTCCTTAGTTATTGTCTCTTATAAACCATAAACACTGGTGAAAAATTAAAAAAAACTTAAAATACCACTTCATATGTCATTGCTTTATATAAGCAGTTTTGGTTATGGATAAACTAGTCTAATTTCAGAGAGGATTTAATCACTCTCTAGTTTTTTATTAATTTTTCATAGTGGCATCAAAGTAGTATATGGATGACACTAGATGGTTCTAAATTGACCATGAGAAATCTCGAATTCGGTCTACGAATTAGAATTAACAGTTAGGATAAGAAATAATGGTTAGGGTTTTCATCATGAACCAACATCAACCGTAATGCTCTTATAAACATATAAATGAATAAATTGTGCACAAAAACCCTTTAGGCGTTATCTTGAATTTAACTGCTTCATCCATATGCTTTAGTTCCACCTATTTTGTAAGTTAGGATACCTGTTGTTTAATATTTTAATCCATTTTCGATTGCATAACAACATATTGTATTTTTGATTTTCTTAAATGTATTTTGGGATTCACAGTGTCAGATAAACCTGTAATGGTAGAATTTGTCAAACAAGGAAATAGTGAAACAATTCCAAGTACCAATTTTAAAATTCCATTCAACACCGCTATATGGATACCTAATGATTTATTTCAAAAGAATTTCTTATCAAGTAAAATCCAGTGGGAATTTACTCCCACCGAAGAACCAAATATTTCAGATGCACAAACAGGTTGCACTTTCCCAAACGGTACCAATACTACTAGATTAACAAACAGTGCAGAAATACCAAACACTGGGATGGTCAAATCAAATGAAAATATATTACGACCATTCAATCAGTTAGCTCCATTTTCTGTCGGTGGTGTTATTAGCAAAAACAACTCCACTAATAATCACACTAATAACGATAATGGAGAAACGAAGATGAATTATGCATATACTAAAGATCAATTGGACCAGTTGAAGAGTGAATTTATTGATTCAGATTATGCTTCAAGTATGGACGAAGGTGGTAGCAGTAGTAATCATCAAAAAAAGAAAAGCTGCAAGTCAGAGTCAAATATCTTGTCTGAAGCATTTCATGATTTTCATTCAGATATTGCAAGTCGATTTGTAGAGAGAAAAAGTTGTGAAGATGAACGAATTCGACGTCCTATCAACGCTGAAGGTACGAATTTATATATATAATAAGCTTTTTTGATTAGCCAATGCTTGTCACCTGCAACACAGAAAAATATCGATATACCTATCTAAAATCCAGCACACTATGTAACAATTATCTCTATGTCACTTTATGGTTATAAAGCATGTCCTGTGACGATAGAAGACAAGTCTAGTTTACTAGTATTTGGTGTAATCAAAGAATTGCTCGCGTTTGGTGAAGTGACCTAATGACTAATACTTACATTAGTTTTGGAGTACTAGATAAAAATGGCAAATAGATTGATGGGTGTTCCAAAACCCCTGATTTTAATATCTTTTATTCGTAACTAGTTACCGTCTTCATAACACCAGATGCCTAACCAGTACAAGGGTAGACTAGAGTAAAATTGAGGAATGGAAATTCAAGAAATAGCATTAATCGCCGATGTCAATAACTGTTGAATTGAGATTTACTAAGAGATTTGGACTTTCTGGTTGATTATAGACCCTAATTGATATGTCTCAAAGCCTGTAACAATGAGGGGGGATGTTTTCATTCTTAACTAGTAATTCTCAAATTTAAGTATCATTCCATACTCCTCATTCCTAAATTTCATTATTATGGTTATCATTCAATTCTCAATGGCATAATGGTCTAGACTTCTTTGTGTTCATTTCCTCTCACTGCGCTGATATACCTAGAGCGTGGCAACTTGTATCCAAGCACATTTGAGTGAGTTCTTTCGTCTTATCACTACTGATGGGTTGAGAGGAAAACAGCTCATCCCTTTAAATGTGAAAATTATGTTTGAAATAATCTCAGTAATTGAGATAATTATGTTAGTCTGTAGGAGGAGATTACATCATGAAGTTATTCATTGTCTCTTCATACTGTTATGTGGAAAATTAATTATCGTATTTCTTATTCGGGAATTACTCTTAACCCCCCTATATTTTTCTCCAACCTCTTGATCATCACTCAACCTTCTTTTGATTTTTGAAATTACTTCGTCGAAATTGGCTGGATTTTCTTTATTTTTATTCAATAGCACAATGTGTTACTTTAATAAAAACTAGCTAATAATCCAAATTGTTGAACATGAACATCAAAGTAGAACTGTTTCATTGAAATCATGAACCGATCAGTGTTAGACCACCATTAAAATTCTGAAAGCACTGGACAGTCCTTTCATGCTAGTACAGGACACTCCAGCGGTGCTCATCCACGACCTCGCAAGCGGGAATAGAACCCAGAGCCTTCGGTCTCGCGCGCGAACTTTTGATCTCTAAACTACAGAGCCGTTATCCAACGGTGTTGAAGTCTTACTTCAATCAGTCCATGGTATTGCTTGACCATCTTTGAGATTTTGAATGATAGTCTAACGTTGATAGATTCATTATTTCAATAAAACTAGACAATTTTCACAACCCTACACTAAAAGTAAAAGTGGATCAAAATCCAAATATATAGACTAACAAATACAGCCGAAAATAAGAGAAATGTTAAATAATTTGTCATGGTCCAAGATCTGTATAAAGGGAAACTGAAATACGACATTGAAAATATTACAGACAATTAATATTCAACCAATTAATCAGTCACTCAACTGAACAATAAAAAAAGGAAAGAAAGCAAATTATCCAATTGTTATTTTAGGTTTCAATCAACATTCATTTCCCTGTTTACTGATTACGAGATATTTGAAAGAAAAGCATTCATCCCAGTTCTGTTGAAACAAGGAATACTTCATCACTCATTTTCACGCATACACACACCAGTTAGTTTTTTTTATATCTGACTTGTGTGGTTGTCAGGTATCCTCACTTTCGTTTACTTGAATACCATAAAGTATTTTGTCATTCCTTTGACTACTATCTCTTCTGTTATTTTTGCAATCTTTTTAATATGGATTTCACGCTAATTCATGAATAAATAAATTTTTAGTAGTAATACTGATTGCATTGATAAAAACCGTAATGATAGTGAAAAAAATTATGCCAGACTAGAAAATAAAATGAGTGAATTCATTTTTCTATAGAAAACCAAATGAATGATGTGAAATCATGTAATTTGTGGATATTAAAAAATGACTGAACTGACTCCTATTGAACCATTGAAAAGCCAAGGATTGATCAGTACTTGTTTAATTTTAGTTTGAGACAAGCCATTTTACTACAGTTATCGTGACTAATATGATACAGTTCAGATATTCTTGACTCCAGTGAATTTTTGTCTACCATTCATTAGTGACTTATTTAATTCCACCACCTTAAACCTGTTCGCTTTTGATTACATGATTGAATAATTTATTCAGTTTATGGATCTGTTAATTTTTCAATCTTTACTCACTTCTGAGCATTGGAATCGATGTTTAGGCAAGGAAGAGTACAGCACATTGATTTCATTATCAGTCAGTCAAAAACAAAATAGAGCCCGACAAATATTTGCGTTGACACAAGTTCCCATATCATACTAACAGAACAAGATGAGTTTAAAAAGATGAATAGCAAAATAATTGAAATAATGTAGTGTCAATGATACTGATAATAAGAAAAACTGACATTTGAATGCATGGTTTGAAAAGGTGAAGTAGAAAGTAAATACGAAGAAATACTGAAACTGAGGATCTCGAGAAGTACAAAGAGTGAATTCATGTTCACCATTGTGACTGATTCTGAGCCTTATTATTCAAAGTATCCGATCACTGATTGCAGTTATCTCGTAGACTCCAACCATGAGGTCTGTGTATAGCCACACAGCCGAGATATTCAATCAGTAAGTTCGTGGACGGACGCCACGTTTTGGTTGTAGCTCAGTTCAAAGATATTTCTGCTTCTCACTAACTATTATTCTTTCTTTTGATTAGCCTGCAGAATATACAACCAGGTGAAAGATGTTGCAACATATATAGATCCAGAACTGCAATATGGGAAAATGTATATTAAATGGGTTAAAGACCAAGTTAAGCCTATGAATCGTCCAGAATGGCGGTACTGGGGGGCTAAGCCTATACCACAACTAACTGCACCTCCAACGTTTGAACCTTTCAAAGATACGGTTGCCTGGAGTAGGTCAGATCGCTTAAAAACTACAGGTAAATTAATTTCATTTGTTATAGGACTTTCTTTGTTTGTATTCAAACTAAATAATGTTAGCAAAATGTTTATTATATCTACCTTCTATATATTGATTAACTAATACTAAATGTGATTTTATGTAGTTTAATTTTCTATGATACATATAAATATTGAAGCAACTGCTCGCAATATTTCTGTCTATTGGTGGGGGAACGTGTTATAAAAGCTTAGTTACCTTAACTATTCCAGACAGTGGAATCTTTTTTAAGAAAAAAGTTATTAATTAACTATGATATATAAAATATATGAGAAGACACAATTACTAATTTAGTTGTCTTTTATATAAGCGGAATAATCAAAGTTACTTTTGTCATCAATATTTGTCGCAATTATAAGTATTAAAAAAACTATGATAATAAACTGATAATTAACAGAGAAAAACAAACAAACAAATCGGATCATTAAAGTTAATGCTGAAAAATAAATTAAGTTAATTAATTAGAAAAGAATTGAATTCCCTCTTTGTTAATGCTAACCGTAGTTCTTCATAAAATCTTAATGATTTTCATAATTATACTAGTTCTAAGCAATGAGTATTAGAGTGAACAATAGTTCTTCATAAATTCTTTATCAGGCTCTACAGTTATAAACTAAAGATTATTATTATTATTGTGTCAAAACTTGTTTTGTAAATCGAAAATGCTAAACTTCTCATAATGTAAAATAGCTTCATTGATAATGTGATACATAAAGAATACGAAAAATTATCTGCCTTAATTAAAGTGATAATGAAAATTCCCATTTCGACATTTGGTAAATAGCGAAGAAACGAATCGAACGAAGAAATTTCTTTTCAATTAGTTTTTCATCATGGCTCTACACTAATATATATATATATATATATATATATATATATATATGTATATATTGATTGAGATCGTGAACCGATTGATGTTAGACCACCATTGAAAACCTGGAAGAACTGGACGGCCGTTTCGTCCTGTTGTGGGACTCCTCAGCAGTGCGCATCCACGACCCCGCTCGCGGGACTCGAACCCAGGGCCTTCAATGTCTCACGCGAACGCTTAACCTAGTGGACCACTGAGCCGACATCCAGTGGTGTTAATGTCTAATATTGACCAATGCACGAAGTTGCGCGACCATTTTCCATTGTACTGAAGTAGACACTTGTTTCTACCTGACACGGATTATATATATATGATATACAATAATCAAATAATACTCGTCGAGCGGGTATGTTACGTAATAATTACACAATGACATTTCGATCATAAATTAACATCGAGTAATTTATATATATATATATATATATATATATATATATATGTGTATATATATATATATATATATTAGTGTAGAGCCATTATGAAAAACTAATTGAAAAGAAATTTCTTCGCTCGATTCGTTTCTTCTTTAAAGTGATAAGTTCTAACCAATGAAACCAAACTATATGTAAGAACAAGGGAATATAAAATAGGAATTGTTGTGTCACACTTGTTAAGATAATAAAAATAATGATGATATTGAGAGTAATTATTGGTAAAAACATCATATAAAATAAGAGAGCTGAATAAATAATGAAGCATAAGCAAAATGTCTTGGAAGTTAGTATATAAGTCACATTGAAGGTGGAATGAACTTGACATTATATTTATACACTATTGATCTGATGGTCAGTATTGTTGCTGCAAACGAAACGATACTACGTTATATTTATCTATAAATTCCATGTTACCATGTAATAATCTTTTTAAATATTACACTTAACTCTCAATATAGAAGTTAATCAGTAGATTTTTAATGCCATTTCAATTACGTAGAATTAAAGATTGTTGTTAACAAATAGCATATACTATAACAAAATACACTGAGTAGGTAGGGCTTTGAAGTCATCATCTTTCTTCCAGTTAGGTTCATTGATAAACGGTTAAGTGATACTAATGACTTTTCTCATTTGAATCTTAATTAGATCAACTTGTATATGAACATAACTAGTCATAAATGATTAGATACATTATGTAAACTTCGTTATGAGTGAACTGTACATAGATTATTAAGCAGGTCAATTAGATCTTTTTCTATGCCATTAGATGAAGCAAATTTTTCAAAAATTATGTACGTAGAGATTGTTGCTTGTAGCACAAAACATTAGTACTTTAAGTAACATCGTTAATTTATAAAAATAATTCAGACATCTAGATATCGTTATTTTAAAATGTAATTAAATTATCATTTACACTATTAAGTACGGGAAACTTTAAAGGTCAGCTACTACGTCGTGATGATTTTGCATAACAATATAAGTATTTATAATTTCACAATGCATATTACGAATGTAATTACTACATCAAACATATTTATTAAATTATAATAACTATATTGATTTGATAAGAACTGTTGGACGAAATGCTTTAAAATAATAAGTTACTAACTTCACGGAAGACACTTTCAGGGATCGAAATTAAAATGGTTATTTGTACGGACTGAAAATATGTCAACAAACGGTTTCCAGATTACAGAATATATAATAAAGGAGTTGACTAAATATTTTTATAGAATGTTAGTTTAACGTTATCTCAAAGTTTGTTGTTCATTTGAATTACTAATCCGGATATGTAATTGTAGAATGTAATTAGAAAGTATTCAAAAGAATCTACTCCATTCACACATTTGCATTATAGAGCATATAATTAAAAGCTAAGTTAGTTTAGTAACCAAATATTCTCTCAATTGCAGGTTTAAAACATTTATAAGAAGAGTTATTTCAATATAGTTGAATAAAGTAACGTATTACTATTGTCGTCATTAATTAATCATTTCTTATTTTTAATTTAAATCCCTTTCCATTTGTCTTCACTAATTTGTGATTTTCACCAACTGAATCCTTTCATTTATGTAAACTCCGTAAATGTTGTATAATGATGATTACACAACTTATCGAATTTTTAAATCTGGATAATCACTATCACACCACATATTTTCGTTACAAGCCAATCTAATTATTCGATTGTTGTCTATATATCACACAAAGAAATTAGAAGTATTGTAAAAAGTTAATTAGAAATTTTTATCTAATTAAACATTCATAATAAGGACAGAGAAAAACATTCTCCGTAAATCTTGCAAATCCGATGTGTGATGGATAATCACTTTCTCAGAGACATTTTTGTTTGAAACCAGTGGCAACTGTACAGGAACAAATACAACACAACGTAGAAAAGAGGATTTTCGATTTGTACATACTCATAACCCTGTGGGTGGCTTTGACAAAATTGGTCGTTACCTGCATAAGTAGCTAAGCGTGTGGCAGAAAAGCTTGAATCCATTTTTCCTTTTTTGTCAATCGGTTACATTTCCAAGATAACGGGAAGAAGCGGAATTTTCCCTCTGAATTTTATTCGAATAAAGATGGAATCTAGAAATGGTACTAATATACTATAGACATTTCTACCATTCAGCACTCTTAGTGCACTTTAAGAAACAGTTGAAACGTCCTCCAAAGAAAGCATGTTCACATGATGTGAAATCACGACCTTCAGGACGTTATGTTTGATGCAGATTCTGTAAAAATTACGGTGAGCTGCTGGGAAGTCAGCAGATAACAGACTGCTTATGCTAGGGCGGCCGTCACTAAGCTGACACCAGACAAAACTTTGTACCAGCAAAATACTAAAAATATTCCATTCACGTTGGCATTTCGGCTGCTTATAAATCTGAATGCTTCTGACACAATCTTCGTTAATGCACTGGTCCTACTAACTGGCGAGGTAGTATTCTTTCCTTGCTATACTTGTAGGTAGCTTTACTATCTGTGACCTCTGAAAAGCAACTAGCAATGTTTAACTCATACTGTGATAAGAAATAGTGCTCGGGTTTACTGTTTGCATTACTGTGTGTCTGCGCTTCGCCTTCGAACTCGAAGATGTATGCTCCAGATCTTTCAAGACTGCCTATTAGGTAGAAGTAGTCATGAAAGTTAAATGGACTTGATAGTTTGACAATTCGAACACTTGGTGATACATAATAGCGACATTCTGGAACTACTTTTATGATTTATCTAGTGGGAGAGGATGAAACGATATATCAAAACACAATCTCAAACCCTTAAAAATTTAATTCTCGTTAACTACACATCGTTGAAGGTAAACAGAAAGGTTGTGTTTATCTTTTGTATATACATATGTTGGATTTCTTTGGATTGAAATCAATTACTTCATCTATGCAGAGTAAACGTAATCTTACGCCTTTTGGTTGATTATTAGGAACCTGATTTATAATTAAGAGGGCATCTTCAGTTTTAATGTCATATCAGAAGATAATTTAGTGGGAAAGATCAACACTGTTGGTAGATTTCGTGACACCTTTTCCTCTTTCAGCTTCATTTCACCTAATAAGGTTTGTTTTTCAAATATCTTATTCAATTAATTATCATATATTTAATATCTACTATGTATAAGTTTGACAAATAAAATTTCCAAAATATTTGATAATATAAATTATACGCATGATATTTCGCGGTTTATTATTTGTTTAGAACTGTTAAACTTTCCCAACAGCTTACTGTTTTTCACAAACTGGACTTGGTAAAATAAGACTAGCTGATTCTGTCTATTTAACTTTATCAATTAAAACAATATCAAAGATAATAATATACTCAGCTAACTTAGAATGTAACCTGTCGAAGTATTCAGTTACTCATTCGAGTTCAAATATCTGATATCGCAATTCAACAGCAAAGAAGAACACTTCTCTTTTAAGAAAAAGAGATGATCGATTGTTGTACAACAACCTAGTAAAACATCTTTTCTGGTGCAAATAAAATGTGTCGTTATTAAACATCTCCAACCGTAGGTCAGTATTGATGTTATACTGCTGTGGATGTTACTCACAAGATTGCTTGTACGAAGTATGTTGCGGAATGTGGCCTCTAAGTTGTCAGACAGAATGAAGAGTTTTAGTACAGCGGACGATGAAGTTAGCAGAACACTTGGAGACTAGACAAGAAGACAGTTCAGATTGCTAAATCCACCGAAAGATGAGAATGGATGAATAAAGGCTATGTATGTGTATTATGTAAATGCTATGCAACTTCTCACAACAAATATACATTCCTTCTACCTATTACCTTATTTAACAATACTAATGTGGGATAGCGAATCAGTCAGCTAAATATTCCCCTAGGTTTTGATCGAATAGTCTAACGTACATATTAAATGTTATATTCGGATTAGATTCATATAGCACTTTTAAGTACCTTAACGTCCTAGAGATGTAGTATATTCAACTTTAACCTCAGCAATCTCAATCGGCCTTTGTCAAAGACATAATCAAATTCGAAATAACTCAAGCCAAATTAACACATTTTCAGGAAGCAATGACGACCAATAGTTTTGAGGTGCTCATATATTGTCATTTTTATTTAAGAAATATTTTTATTTTCCACTGAAACCTATAAGATTAAGTGTGGTATAATTAAGTCTTACTCAAATTAACATTTCTCTAATTGGCCAATATATACTTGTTTGGTTAATGATGTTAATAATTTACGTTATTTTTACCACTTCATAAGGTAATATTCTACGTCCGGAGATTCACTTCAATAAATTTTCATCTAATCGAAAATCAACTAATCATTACAATTCAAGAAACGTAGGGTTGTGGTTGATGGATTCTTCACTTTCGAATAAGGGTATATTGAAAAAGCAATATTCAAGGTTAGTGGTTTTTTGATCGTTATCTAGCTATCTATTTGTGAGCTATGTATTTTCAAGTCGTCTGAAAAATCTGATTATTTCGAGGGCATGACAAATATTGAAAGAATAATGATTGGTTTATGTATTACAGAAATATATGCTCAATGTGTCCAAGTGCATACTAATTCATGCCTAATCATTTAAGGATATAGCATGGTGGAAGCAGATTATCTCTGACCGTGAACACTTTCGAACTTGAATCTAAACTGGCAATAGTGTGGTTACTGGAGCTCATCATTATTACTGAAAAAGAAACCCCTACACTGTTTATTGTCTTCCACATCCATCTTAAAACATTAATGATAATGGATTATACCATTTCTAAAATTACCAATATTATTGGGCAACAGGTTTAAGGTGTGTAAAAGGGAAGTGGTAGACAGTTTTTTATTAATGCGGGGGTGGGTGTCATTCGCTCTGAATGATACAGTAATGTACAAGCGTTTTTATTCACACCCTCCCCCACATTAATAAATGGCCGTTCACTCCTCCCTTTTTTATGTGGCAGTTCACGCTAGCCTGAAGGTACCTAGCCTACTAGGGGATCATGCACAGTAGCGTACGACGCCCAAAGTGCACTTACATTTAATAAAGTAAGCAATGGATAACAGTCAGTGATAACACAAACCTATTATTATGAAAATCAGGAAATTGGAAATGGTTTATTCCGTTATCACTAATGTTTTAAGATGGATGTGGAAGACAATAAACAGTGTAGGGGTTTCTTTTTCAGTAATAATGATGAGCTCCAGTAACCACACTATTGCCAGTTTAGATTCAAGTTCGAAAGTGTTCACGGTCAGAGATAATCTGCTTCCACCATGCTATATCCTTAAATGATTAGGCATGAATTAGTATGCACTTGGACACATTGAGCATATATTTCTGTAATACATAAACCAATCATTATTCTTTCAATATTCGTCATGCCCTCGAAATTTATCGTTAGCTGTAAAACGAGACTACAGTATGGGAATTACTGGAAGTTGTAGTATTTTCACAGTTGAAATCATGAGTCGATCTGAGTTAGATCGCCATCGGATCGTTCAGTGCTTTCAGGTTTTCATTGGTGGTCTAGGTTAAATCGATTCATGAACTCAGCGGTGAAAAATCACAGTCGTTTCAGTATCAGCACATTTTCTGGTCATAAAACCTAGTAGATCTAATCATAAAATGGCTTTTTCCCGACTTATGGGCTTCAATGAATTATCATGTCTCAATCAACATTTCAGTTAAAAGCTTTACTGCTTCTTTAATATCACTAGCGTTGAAGTTACTGGTCCCATTGAATTAGCTCTTTATTTACTTTCGTTTTTATGGACTGGACAGCGACTGTGGAAACTGAGATATTGCCCCGTTTATGTAGGGTTTCTATTTACCATCTGTATGAAGAAAACATTATCTCTTCTACTAACCAGTATATCTAAGAAGAGAAACTAATTATTCATCTCCTTTTCACATGTAACACTAATATAATTTTGATGTATAGTGAATTCTTTTAACAAGCCGTTGCATCTTCACGTTTGTTATTCGTGATTACCATACCATCCAGGTACCTCTTTTAAAGTAAATTTTCTTGAACTGACTTCTAGCCTACCATTCTGATGTATACACTAAACACAGGTTAGCAGTGTCCCTAAAGGACTAGCCATAGTTGCACCATCAATCTGTCGAAAGTGCTTCCTTTAAAAGTGAATTTAACAGTTTTTAAAGGAAATGGCAAGAAAAAATCACTTAACGAGATATAGTCACATGGAATATTAATTGTTTTCCTAAGAGGCATATCTATGTACAGAGGATTTACATCAAGGGTTTACACTGTCTCATTCTTGAAAATAATATTCTATCATGTAATCGTTTCTTTCAAGTGGATCATTCAAAGAAAGCTTGCGAAATCGATTTCTAGTAGTTTTCAGTAGTTCTGTCAACCTTTTTAGTGAGATTATGTGTGGGTGATCAAATATATGAATAGAAGCAGACTTAATGAGGTTATTATGCTTGTCTATATAAATAAGGATACACTTCATGCGCAGGTTTTGGTAATTTAAATTCTTCTTTAATAATCGCCTCACAATTTAACTGTTTAGATCAGAGAACACAACACCATGAAAGTGGTTTATTACTATCAAAACCGGAAGTTTTGTTCTTCGTAGTAAGTTTTGTAAAATAATATGATACGATTTGAATTCAGAAAAGTAACTTAATTTGTTATCTAAACAGCTGACTGATTTGATTACTCAGCTATTTGATATAAGTTTACTATGAATGTCTAATAATGATTCCATGTAACATAATCATTACTTACAACTTTTACTGAACTTATATAATTCACTCTTTTCTTGACAAATTCTTTGGTATATTCTATTAGTTGTTCTAGCTTACCGAGATTAAACAATAACCGAAATGTTGATAGTAGCAGTAGCAGTAAGGATATAAATCGAAACACTATGGACAGTATTCGAAATCCGATGGATTATGACAGTGTGTGCCATTCATTACATGATAATCATGAGTTGCATATTCTTGGGTGTGACAATCAAACTAAACGAGCCGATTTTCCTGTAAGTTATTTATGCTTTCATTTAAATACTATTGAATATTTAGATTTTATAGAACTTCGTGTTAATCAAATTAATTACTAATTTTTGGACACATTTTCTTACTCTGTTTTATTCTGGATAAATTAAGAGGTATATGAAATTAACCGGGTGATAATCATTGTATTTTCCACCTAGAGCCTTGTTTCAATTAAAAAATAATTCTATCTAGGAATGCATAAAATACTTAGTCTGCGAAGTTCAGTCGTTCTTGGCATGAATTCAGAAAGCATAGTTTGGACTTATTACCCGAATCAATCGTGGCTGAGGCGAGATGTTTATCTGTCAACTAAAGGATGTGTGTACTGCTTAACAACCCATTCGGTATTATTTTATGATTGTGAAACATAGTAATAGATAAGCCTAGGCTCCTGGTTTTTGAACATATATGACTTCGAAGCATCGGTCATGTTCCGTTGGACGATCGAACAAGCAGTGTTGCGGTTAGGCACAGGGAACTAGCGAGCGGCTAAATAGGCTGACCAAGTTGAGAACCTTCACCAGCTGAGGTGGTTGGAACGTGTATTAGGTATGCCTAAATACCTCTTAGCTCGACAAGCGATACTTGCTGCTCCAGAAGCAGGTTGAAAGAAAGCTAACAGCGGTCAAAACAGAAAATGGCACAATTTCATGGAGCCGTTGATAATGAGACTGAGCCATGTTAATAGTTGCAGACTATTAAGTTAGGATCCACCCTATTTCTAAGACCGACCGTTGAAGACTTTGGATGATATAGGTTAAGAATCAGTCAGAATGGTTCAAATGATCTCACTCTGTCGTCTCTTGGTTGTTGAAACCTGAGATTATCTTACATTTTCCTGATCCACTCATTCATTCATTCTTTTAAAACCGTGCCTAATCTTTTGTAAAGCAAGAGATGATAAAGTGTGACAACTTGGACCGATCCATGTATACGTCAGGTTCTAGGTTGCACATAACTGACTACCTAAAGTATCCTCAGCAGCACACACGGTTCCACACAGAAATGAACTGATAAGCTTTGAGTTTTGCTGTATGAACGATATGTACAAACCACTAAACTAAAAGCCAATAGAATTTAATTTTAATGAACAATTTGTTTGATTTCACAAGTCACAGTTACTCACCATTGAGCTTATGGTCATTTAATCTATTCCATCCGTTGACTGAATACTTTTTTACTTTCCTCTCTTTTATCATGGAGTCCTAACTCAATAGTCGATTATTCTATATTGAATCTTTTTAAAAATAAAATCCATGGGTTTTGTACCTCGAATAATTATTAGCTGTAGTAACACTGTATGATTTTATTTGTACAAAAATAATTGTATTATTGACCTTTTTACAGTTGAATTGAATTGTTTCACAAGTGATATTCTTTGAACAAGAGATGTGGTGTATATAATTCCACTAATATTGAACTCTCATTGATAGAATGAAAATGAATAAACTTACCAACTACAAAAATTAAGATTCAAATAATATACAGTAAATATGTGACATTTGGACTCTCCAGCAAATTATGGTCTATTCAAAGAAGTATTATTTAATGCATAGAATTGTGTATATTCTTAGTATCAGGTTCCTTTAATAGTCTTAAACCTGGAATCAGGACTATTAACAGCTAACATAGTTCGTAAAACAAACTTTCATAGAATAATTCTTGCATTGATTTTTTGTATCGTAACGTTTGCTTTCCTCAAATTGATATTTCTAAATCAAATTATATTTAATGTTCATTCTCTAAATAATACCATTTATTCACATTTTATGAATAAAACTGTCATTTGGTAAATGTCTATTATATTAACTGCAATCAATAGTTATAAAAGGCAATAGGACTAAACCTAGATGAATGATAGCAAGCAGTGAAATCCAGGAGGTGCTTTTCGTTTCAAACAAAGTCTAAACATTAACACAACCAGTAAAAAATGAATGTAATAAGATTAGATCATGTTTAATATGATGTTTTCATCAGAACTTAATTTACTTATGAACCTATTATTCCATCTAATTAATTGATAACTTTCATTAATTACAGGCAAGAATTCGACCTAAATTAAATCTTCATTAACATCGAGAATCATTCCTCACAGTTTTTAATATTCAGTAAGTTAGTAAAAATGTTATATATAATAGTTGATCTCTGTTCGGCATCATTTTCACGGCAATTAAATATTCGAAATATAAAGCCACACTCAAATTACTTAAAAAACTAATAATTCATTTTATCTCAAGACGGAATAATAAAAGTATTCGTAAAATGACTGGTCAGTCGGTCGTATTCAACTGGGAACGTGTCGCAAATTTGAATTTGTCTGATTTCTACATCTTACATCAAAATAAATGTTAATGACCTTTGTTGGCTTCTGTGGATCCTAATGTATTGACACCTCGTTTTACTAAATTATATACGAGGAGAAAGATGTAAGTGAAAGAATGGTCAGCAACTAATAAGGTAACACTTGCCAGGTGTTTCTAAGTTTTAGAATGTCGTTCTACAAACATATTCATAATGACCTCTAAAGATTAACCATATACCTTATTAACTGCCTTCAGTACTCTCTACAACACAGCAAAAACCTTTATTAAATGCCCAGGAAAGAATAATGGGGAACAGTAAAGAACAACGGGTTATGTACAAGAGTCTATAAATCGTAACAATAAATATAGAATAATTCCAAAAGCACGTGGTTTTTTTACATAATAAGTCAAATGAAAAACGTTTTTTAATCAACGATCAAGAGAGATCAGAGGAAAACATTACATTAAGATAGAAGGCCTCCGACACTTTTTATTACGGAATCATCGATAATACACACTTTATGGGATTTCAACTAGATGTTTCTGTGTTGTTCATTCCTCAGACTCAAATTAACAGCTTTACATTTAGAAAGATTAAACATGAGACCACTAACAGGAAACCATCATTCATTGAGCGACAAGAACCCATTCATTCTGAGGAGATTTGAAGAATCAGAAATTGCTATACGTACAATGAGATTAGCTGCATATCTAACAAAAGTGTTTTCTCTAGGATATGGCAGATTGCCTATAAAAAGTGAGAAAAGAGGAGAAAATGGACCCTTGTGGCACAACATTTGGATATAGTAAAGACGTAGAATACTTCCCTCCAGAGAGGTAAAAACACACCTATCTAGTTATCCAGCTGTCAGTGTTAACTCTGGCAAACTTGTTTGATAGTAGTAGTCTTGAAACAGAGTTATAATTTTGAAATACGCATCAAACATACTTCTTGCCCTTTTACAAACTGAAAACTATATTATGATGAAGAACAGCAGCACTTGAGGTGTTTCTCTTGAATTTTTACGCAAACTGATATTGATCAATATAGTTCTTTATTGCATGCTGAAATAGGAGTAGCATTAGTTTTTCCATTGTCTTAAGAAAAGGCGAAGTTATTGCTATGAGTCTAAATTTCGCATTCTTATTGCCAAATACTTTCCTCGGTATTGAGATTATCTTTATCTTTCTCCATATTTTTGGTATAAAATTAGTTTAGAATAATTCCCTAAAAGTGGTCGTGAATGTATAACACAAAACATCAACATATTTCTAAAAAAAGGTTTGGGTCAAGTCCTAAACAGTAGGACGAGTTAACTGAAAGGAGATATTTTCGAAAGTCAGTTTCAGTAAAAGTTCAAATACAACTCTTCCCTTAACTTATGGAAGAATCACATCAGATTATTGACCTACAAATGACTTAGTTACATAACAAACATACTGTTGGGGACTTTCACTAATGCGTCTCCCACTTGTAAGCTTTTTAAATAGTTTCCATATATTTCAAGAATTTTTACAAGATAGGAGTATCTGAATAAGCATCTAATTCAGACGCGTAATTTCTTGGTTTATTAAACCATTTAGATCACCAGCGTACATGATCTATGCTGAATGATTGGAGACTTAATCGAGTTAGACGGGAATGGTGTAACGAACCAGCTAACATCGAAGTCACATTTCGTAGTCAGCACCTTACGTGGATTACCCCATTGACGTATCAAGGTACCATAGATACTTTGAAGACTGTTCAACACAAAGGACGTTATTACAGAAATATATTTGTTAAAGTAGATACAAGCGAAGGTAAGACCACTGCCGCATGGGCCAGCCTATGGCGTACAAATAACTGATGCGCGTTGGTTATCCTTGGCCTTGACAGGGATCGTCGATCGATTCGATATTCACTGGCCCTACAACTATTTAGCTTTCGAACTTCAGTGGAGATCTTATCCCCATGTGTTCCTCATTTTCCCCTCTGAAATCGTTTTAGTTATGGGGATGTAAGCCGGTTAAAACATGCAAAATTAGTTCCAGTGGGATAACAAATATCAAGGTAGGATTTCATATAACAAGTGGCGACATCAACGATGTTTCCCAATTAGTCATTTGTAAATAAATCCCAGTTTGTCCTACGAAATGTTTTTCAGATGTTGGATATTCTCCTCTGAATAGTTTTTATTTTTAACTTTTTCCATCTGGTGTAAGAGTGTACTCTACGTAAGCTTCCTATATACTTTAGGTAGAACACAAATAATACAATGATCAGAACTAATAAATGGGATACATTACTAAATCATTAATGAAAACTAAGTATAAATGCGTATCCAGATGAGTGGGAAAATTGACTACATTTTGGTAAACTTAATATGAAAGAAAGATATATTCACAAGAACTAAAATTACCACATATAATTGAAAGCGAATCAGTGAAGCGAGTAACAGGAAATTCAGTGAATTCATCAATAAAAACAGACAATGCATATGAAATTCAGTCCAGAGGCACATAAATGTTGATAACATAAATATAACTGTACCTGCTCAAGTGTTTTGGAGGACATTTTAATGTCAAACTGTCGATAAAAACGCGATTGATGACGGGTGATCAATTACAGTCTTAAACATGAATGGGAAATTTCAAACTAGTACAAATGACTCGATAAAGTCGTTTGAAAACTTAACACATGCAAATTTAGATCCACAACAGTCCATGTTTACAAAAGTAGCTACACCGCCATCACAATTTTTCTTATTGCTTGATCTGCCTCGATATTAAATATTGAAACCATGTAGTGATACTAGGGAATCGTCGTGTAAATGTTTTAACTAGTATTCTTGAGTTGTGATTACACCACAATTACGATACGTGTTTGGACCTAGTACGGACCGAAGGTAGCCCACCTTCCCAATAAGTGTTCGGGGGTTGTAATTTAGCAGATCAGGCATCGACGCCTGATTAGTGTTCATTGCTTTCAATGCCGGCCACTGAGGTGTCTCGAATTATGCTTTTTAGTACCTTGTAAAACGATGGGTTATAAGCAATTATGTACGCACTTGAATAAGTTATGCATTTAATAGACATAATTAATGTGTTAAAATCAACAAAAATTTAACTTGGTGAAATATTTAGATGGTATGAAAAATCAGTAGCCCAGATATCCAAGCAAGCTGCCAAGTATTATTGAACTTATAAAATCTTTTTTAGTGGTATAAATTCAATAAGTCAAATGAAAGGAATGTGGTTTCATATAACATAATATCGTGTACAACTGTTTATATGTGATTAGTTTTATCGTTAACTGAAAGTATTCGAATGATGTATACAATGAAGCAACTGATATTTTATCAATGAAATTCGATCGTAACATAAATTGCTATTCAATTCGATTTTTATCGTTTTGAGATGACGTGTATAAATAGTAACAGATAAATTCGAATATATGAATAAGCTTTCTGTTACATTTCATGATAAAAATATGTTATTAGCCGAGAATCTAATAGTGCGATATCGATAACTGCTCCTTGATATGTTCTTCGCCACTTTTTAAAAAGTTTTTAAAAGTTGTATTTCACACACCTTAGCTGACATTATTGCCATGACGATTGAGATTCATAACCCCTATTGATAAAAACTTGGATCGTGATTATAAGTGATTGGTTAACCTGCATTTTAAAATATGTGCTTATTTAATTAGGAGAACCCTTTAGGTTACCTTTACGAATTTGTTAGTTGCCTATAAATAGTACATCGTTGCAATCTGATTATAGTTGAGATCCATCTGGCATAAACTGTTTTGATCGGATGCCGACATTTGGAATGTTATAGTTAAATTTTATTTCAGTTCACAGACGACTCAATTGTTTTGTAGTAGAAAATTTTAACTTGGAAAAAAAAGCCACATCAATCCTATTTGACTGTCATGATACTACTGATTGGTTATAGATACTGAAATGACAGGTTGAATCAATTCTTTTAATAATCACATAGAAACAGAACTTATTTTGTTTAGTTATCCTAAAATAATGTACCCATATAATTTCCATTTAGATGGAATGATTTTACATGTCATCCAAGGGAAACTAGACTAAATTGATAACTGTTTATTGGCTATAATGATCAGTTTGTTGTAAATAGATATAAATTTCTAATTACAATGGTAATTACTATTACCTGAAAATTGCTAAACTTAAAAATTCACAAGGTAGAAATGGTTTTCCCTTTAACCATTTTCATGAATTATCTTAACTTATCATTTAACTAATAGATTTATGCTGACAAAGCTTGTCACAGATGTCTAATGATTTGAATATGTAATCGTGGTAACCTAATGCAAATGTTACACTTGATTAATGCTAAGTGCTGAATTAGTCTAATATTACTGAATGATTAACATTTCGAAAGATTGTTCAGTGAAGAAAATTGTCTTTTGATTAATTAACAGCATTTTAGAATTCATGAAAGTACACATAAGTAACCATGAAAGAATCCCATTATGTCATTCGATAAAATGAAAATGGCTTTGCACACAATGTCACATACTCAAACTGAAAAAAAGGCATTTACAGTTAATTTGTCGTTTGACAAATGTTTCAATCATAATAGTCTAAATATTTAAATATCTAGTAAAGTAACCTGTAATTCAATAAAACAATGTTGTATGATTTTAGAAAGTTAACAATAATAAAAACAACACTGAATCATCAATTGTACATTAACAGACGAATATCTGGAGGAGGGTTATATGTAACGACGTAGACTTGAAGGAAATGTGTT